CACTTTCTACATCTTTCCCAAGATCGCTTTTCTCTAATAATTTGTTAGACTTTTGGAGCTATTTTAAGGCTCTTAAAGTTCCAGATCAACCAAGACTGATTGGGTTTAAATATTCACTTGTCATCACGCTGAAAAATTGTGACATAGTAAACACTTCCAGCTATATTTTAGACTGACTAATAGACCAGGAGGACTGGATGACTGGGGCATTTCTTTCAGTCCTAAAGAAATAACATTTTGACCCTGGCTTTTTTCCAACTATTTAGTTGGTCTAATAAAAGTTATCACATCTACCCAAAGAACCTTGCCTGCCTATGACCTTAGCAACACAGCTACGACCAACAACCCTGCTATTTTGACCCTGGAGAACTTTCATCCATTCATCTAAAAGCACTTTACAGTGGCAACTTGTTTGTGAAAATGTTGACTCTTTTTTTTTTAAACTTGCTTCATGGGTAGTCTGTATTATCCCCCTTCCACAGGAAGGAAGACTAAGAAAGATAATTCAGGTCACAACTTTAAAAAAAACTTTGCAGCATCTGACTCTTTCTTAGAGGCCTCCCACCCAAATACTGATCAGACCCAGCTATGCTTGGTAGATGAGATCTGAGAGAACCAGAGCTGGGAACTGTGAGACTGCAGGTAGTTTCCTGTGCAATTTTTCTTCTGATTGTGATTTCCCCAGCCACTCTGTTTCCTCCCTTCCTCTCTCCCCATTCTCTTTAGTTATCTGGCTGAGATATCACCTCTGCTGCACAGACCAGACCCTGGATTGTGCTTAATAACTTGTGAGGGCACTCGAGCAATCAGATGAGACATTTCAAGCGAAATGGAGTATGCCTCTTGCTGTATCACAGCTCCCCCTTGGACACTGTAGATGGAAGCCAAACATAACATCCAGGTCAGGAGAGAAAAATTGATTGTTTCAAAGGCACTACTCAAACCTAATGAGTAGAATCAACACCACTGTCAAGACACTCCAACTGCTGTCTGTGTGAAATCCCTGCAGACCAGCAATGTTCAACCTCCAGCCTGCAGGCAGAATCTGGCCTGCAGGTCCATGTCATCCAGCCTGCTGGGCTCCCTGTAGGTCCAGAAACTTGGCAAAAGAGAGCTTGGCTTCCGGAGTTGTGACAATTAAGGCTGCCACTGCTCCCCAACCGTCAAATTTCCAGCTCCATGGGAAACCTCATGGGCCAGATAACACAGTCCATATTCCAGACTGTACTGGCATGTGGGGTTGCCCCATGGCTGAATCCAGCACACAGGGTTGTGGTGGCATGCCAGATTGCACCCCCACATGCTGACCTCAGGCTGGATTTGGGCCACAGACCAACCCTGCCCCCAGGATCCAGCCAGTGGAGCTAGAGGGTTGAGTATCACTGCTGTAGCCAGAGCTCAGGGCTGCACACTCCTTTGCCAAAACCCACCTATGGCTTTCTATTGCACAGAGAGATTCAGGTTGACTCTGAAACAATTGCTCATCATTCAGGCTGTGTAGCCAATTGGGAAATTTGTTTCTTTGGTGTAGTTCATTAGCAGAAGAAAATATGCTGTAGTTAGCAGTCACTGGAAATCTCTGCTGCTGAACAACTGGGTTCAGTTTAGCACCAAGAAGTCACAGAGCAGTAGGTCACTAATCAGAAGAAACAGCATGACAGAATTTCCCAACAGGGTCAGGGACTGAAGAGGAAGAAGTGTCCCGTGCTAGTAGCCATTGTTCTAGATTTTTACTCCTGTAGCAGCTTATACCTTTATCATAGGTATTTCCAGTAAAAGGAGACCAGAAGAGATACGAGGGGGAGGGCTTCAGGTTGCTCACTAGAGTGGCCGGAGGATAAAGCAAGGGAAGGGACCAGAAATTCTCAGTCACACCATTTAGGGTAAAAGATTTCCTCTGGTAAATTCAAGAAGGAAGTTTGGGCATGTATGGTCCTAAGCAGGTAATTGGAATATGGTTAGAGGTTTTCAATCAAGGCATTTGTAGAGCCGGTAAAAGGTGGAGAGAATGTGTTGTAATGACATACATAGGTAGTACTAAAGTGAGATCTGGAAGGGCATATGCGGTACATACTTCAGAGACATTCCCAGAAGCACACATGCCCTTCTTTGCACTCCCTGCTGACTATGTATGCCACATGGTGGCTTTCTTCCTCCCTGACCCATCACAGTGGGCCCTGCCAAGTGATAGCCAGTTTGACCTGGAACCTAGAGTCTGAGTCCTAACAAGCGCCAGATGACAAAGGCCCCTTAGGCTCCATCTTGTGCTTCAGGAGGAATTGCAATTCCACCCCATCCTATTTTTGCCCTTCTTCCCAGCACCTGCCTGCCAACGCTTACTTCTTTCCAGTGGAGCAAGGCCGCTCATTCCTCCAACAGGTGCTTCTCAACAGGAGTGGCACCAGAGGCAAGTCAAGTGTTAATACTAGGAACTATTTATAGGCTACTTAAGGACTAACTAATGCAGGTGGGCCCTGCACATGGGAGTCCCTATCCTGCACAATTGCTCTGTCATGTGGAGGAAGGTAACCTGCACACACATCAGCAAGAGGACAATTGGCAGCACCCAGGTGCTGCTTGGTAAAGATAATAAATATCAGCTGGAAGTGCCTTGCTATTGATTTGATATTGACTTAAACAGCAGGATTTTCACTGAATGAGTCTGGATGCCTGAGCCTATAACATATAACAACTTAAACTGTTTGCTGTGTTACTTACCCAGGAAGGACAATTCCTATAGATTTTAGGCATTAATTTAAAAGAAGTTAAGTCTGACTGCATGGGGTATTTCTTGCAATACCTTCAGAGCCTTCAGTCCTGGCTGCCAAGCTACCCTGCTCTTCCTGGCAGCTTGGCCAAACAACCTGTTAATAACCCCAGGGTCTTGCCCCAATAAGCACTCAATTCCTATGCCCTAGTTGAGCCATCTGCCTGACCAAAGGATGCAAATGGGAAAATCCCAACAGCCTGCAACACTCAAGTCAATGAGCTCCTGATCTCAACCATCTTCCTTTGCAAATGAACAGCAGAGAAACTCCAGGGCAATCTTGTTTTACATCTTCACTGACTGTCTTTCTTGCATGCACGCCAGCCTCTGGCTTCTTTGCTATTCATTCCATCCAGAAAGAGCACACGCCAACTGTAGATACTTCCTTAGCCTGGCAAAGGGTATTGATACCCGTAAACTTGCAAAGAAGAAGTTTTTTCCAACTATTTGAGTTGGTCTAATAAAAGAGATACCCAAAGAATCTTGTCTGCTTGTTTCCCTTATGGCACTTACTACTATGCTTTGTGTATGGTAGTGACCTGCTTTCCAGCCAGGTGAGAAACTCCTCATTTAAGGAAATAAATGCTGAGCAAAGAGGACAAGAGGGAAACAGCACATCCTCTATCCTTTTGCTGTAGGTAGCCAAGCCAGGGTCAATTTCTGAGAGACTCAAAGGAGGGTAGAGGTCTTGCAAATGACAAGCTCACAGAGGCTGTACCATACACAGATGGCAGAGGACACAGAGGCATTGGCCAGTAAGCTGACAAGCAGGCACACTCAGGCAGGAACACTAGCAAAAAGGGTAGTGTTATGGGGTGACATGGAGTGGAGTGAAATGAGTCAGGGACTGGCAGAGTTACAAAAAAGCTTTGTGTGTAGTGACAAGAAGTTTGAACTGTTGGAAGTGTGGACAAGGAGCCACAGAAGGGATTTAAAGAGGGAACCAACTTATCAGATCAATGAGCAAGAGAAAGGGCTTTTGCTGCTGTGTTTTCTGTGGGGGTAGAGTAAAGCAGTAATTTTTGGGGAAGGCAAATGGAAAGAAGTTGAGGGAATTAAAATGGAATATAATGGGGGCCTAGTCAAAAAATGCTGCTATGTGGATCAAAAGAAAAAGATGGATCTTGGGCATATTGGGGAAGAGGAAACAACAGGGTCTGTCTATGGCCCAGATCCAGGGAGCAAGCAAGAGGGAGCAACCAAATTCCCCCAGATTACAGGCAAGGGTGGTGGTGGTATTGCAGCAATTGCAAGAATAGTGGAAGCTGGAGTAATGAGAGCAGGATATAAGGACTTTGGTTTGCCCCATGCTAAATTTAAGCTGATAAGATGAAGGGGTCAGGACATGGATGTAGAGAGAGATCTGGAAACCATCCTCAGGAACTGGATGGAGGAAAGGAAGCTTTTAATAGAATTGCCCTTTGGCTGGGCAGAGCCACATCCAGCAGAGCTGGTTTGCCATGGTGGTGATCAGGCCATCTTCCTTGGTATGAGGAAACTACAGAAGGCAGCAAAATGTATCTTGGAGCTCCTGGTGGACATAGAGCTCTGTGCTGCTTGCAAAGGGGAACCAACACTCTGAAGGTCCATTTCAATCCATGACTGCTACCAGCCAGTGCAGGACTGCCCAGAATTACTCCTCCATGTAAATGCCACTTGTTTGGATCCTTGCTGTCCTTGGTGACTTTATATTGTATGTTTTAAAATGCTATCAGTTATTTAGGGAGACCTGATTTCCTTCTCAGTTCCAATAGTGTAAACCCAGAGCAACTGTACCTGGGCTCACTCTGGGTTCATACTCATTTAAGTATAAACAAGATTTGGCTTGTGCCCTGGGGGAGGGTGATGATCTATGGGCCAAATTTACCAAGCTATTTAAGTACCTGAAGATAGAGATAGACATCTTAGGCATCTGTTTACAAATCCCATTTGGTGGATGCATTGTTAGCCTCTTAAATACCGTGGCAAATCTGGCCATAGCTCCAGGCCAACCCCAGTTACCCAGATCCCACTTATCTGACAGGCAGATAAGCCGACATTTTGAAAGAGTTGTCTAAAGTCAGAATTGAGATTCCCTGAATTTTTACTCTGTTTCCCTGCCAGCTGGGATATACTGCACTAAACCTTGTTGCCCAGTTCAGACTGGGAGGCACCACTCCCTGGCAAAATGGAGGGCAGCAAGCCATAATGTTGTCTCTTCCCTCCTCTCCTTTCTCCCTCCCCTCTCCTGCAGAAATGGAAGATGAAAGGCAGTTTCGTTCAGCACTTTGTCAGCGGCCTCTGCTTGGAAAACCAGTCCAGCAGAGCAGTGACCAACCCATGCCAATTGGATGTACCTGGTCAACAGTGGGAGCTGCTGCAGGCCACATGATGGTAGCTCAGAAACCTCTTTGTTTCCTTTGCATGGAACTTCGGGAATGGAAGGGGCGTGGGTGGGGAGTAAAGGTTTATTATGTCTAACCCTTAATGTCTTGATTGTGGCCATCAGTAAGTCACCATTTCAGTTGAACATTCAATGTCTTTGAACTTTTAAGGAAGAAGTTGGGGGGGAGGGAAGGTCAGAAATGGCATTGAAATCAGCCCTATTGCCTCCATTCTGCTCCGTAATTGACATCCTTGTCTAACAACAGTGAAAGGCAGGAGAGGGCACAGCCCAGTAGCCAAAGTCACCTTGGAATGGCAACAACTGACTAACAGCTCTCCCCTTCGGTTCCTTCCTCTGTGTCGAAATATGTGGTCTTCAGCCCCATTGATTCCACATCACCAGCAGCTTCAACAATGCTTGTACAATCTCGTGGTACCTCTCTGGCTTTACTGGCTTTCTACTGTGACATCTGGGTCACTGCTTGCATGTTGTCTGACTGCTGCAGTGAGGTGGCCTTGCAGGAGTGTCAGCATAAATAACAAATGGGTCGGGTATGGGTAACTCATTTCAGGGTAGGCACTGTTTATTACTCCATGTTTGGACAGTGCCTGATCTAGTGGAGCTTCCTCTTTGTGGGATCGAATGAGATGGAAGAAGAAAGATGTAGTGGGCCAAAGGGCAGGGTGATCAATGGGTAGGAAGAGTGATGTATTTTTGCTGGGTTGTGTCAGCTCACATCTATGTCATTCCTTGCAAAGGACCTTTTTATGATTCCTGCTTCTTGTGGCAAATAGCCATGATGGTCAGGAAGACTTCTGCACCAACACCTCGAAGAGGCCAGTATCACTGCAGTAGATAACCCAGGGCTAATCCTCATCAGCCAGGCACATTGTTGTGTTTCATAAGAGTGCTAGGGTGTAAATGCATGTCAGAACTACAGTGTCTGTGTGAAACCCCTCCACACAGGGAGCTGATGCCAGGATTTAGCTTGTGCATGCCCCCACTTCTGCATGACTATTCTGCCATGAACTGGCCTGACATTCAGAAAATGGCTGCCTAAACTCTGGGGTACTGGAGGTTGCTGGAGGTCACTCTGAGACTGATAGATGAGATGCTACAGCTACTAGGAAATATCCATTAAGTGCCACCCTGCAGGCATTCCACAGCAGTGCACTGACAGTGTGTGTTGAAAGCATTGCTGTATTCTGGGATGACAAGGGGAGGGCTCCGAAGAGAACATGTATTGCTGCCTTCTGTCATTCCTTGGCTGGGATGCATTAACAGAGAGCGCGCGAGAGAGCGCGCATCCCCCTGGGTAATAACTGTGTTCCAAATGTGGGTTATGACTAAGGAAAGCCAGTGAAGTGGCCACGTGAGTGTGCATTGCCCATGTGAATGCAGCCTGGGGTAACAGGCTCCAAAGCTCTTGCTCTGAGAGACAGAGGCAGCTGCAAAGTTTGAGGATTTGGCTGTTCTTTTCCCACCTCACTCCTTACACCTGGAAAGCCCAGCTTTCCCTCCAAAGCATCAGTACCCACTCACCTGCCCTTTCTAAAAAGTCTGCCCTCATTGTAACCCATGAGGACTCACAGTAAGGCATTTCCTGGCATTATTCCTCACTGACAAAGGTAGATACACGTTCAGTAACTTGTTCCCTGACCCCTTCCATTTTCAATTAGTCATGGTGAGGAGAGGTAGGAAGAAAATCCTTCCCTGTGGTACTGGATCAAAGATACTCCATGCCTTTCCTTGCTGGTGAATTGCCCCACTGCTTCAGGATCCTCAGTCAGTTCTGAAGCACCTCTACAGAGACCCTGTTCCAATGCTGGGGGTGGATCTGAGTGGACTGGAGCAGTTGTGGCTGACAAGATCCTGTCCCGGCACTCTGTGGACTTTGCCAAGCTGCAAATTAGGACAGCCCTACTCTGTAGCAGGGATTAAACCAGCCATTGGAAGCCATGGAACAAGAAAGGTGCAAGTCACCTCCCCTGTGTGCCAGGACCTGATGCCAGTGAAGCACAGGGATGAATCCACTCTTCAGCATCTTGCATCACCACAGTCTGCTGTTGTTAATCCCTTCCATGCCAGACAGACAGGGTGTGCCCACTGAAGTATCTCCTCCTGTTCTCTTTTACTTAAACCAATGGCCTGAAAAAAAAATCTGATGCTGGGAATACTCCAGAGTCAGGCAGCAGTGAAAGGATTAGTGGAGCAGACCCTGATTTCTCTTTTTTCATGGAGAAGAGGTAAGGGTTTCGTAGGGTGAGGTCACCTGAAGAAAAATGCCTTGCATTCAGAATCATGTCTGACTTTATCCTAACTACACATTTAGTCCAATAAAAGCCATCATCCTAAGAAAGCCTTGCCCCTCCCATAATTTCTGGACCATCATGGCAACATCACTCTTATACTACTGTTTATGGAGAAGACTAACTGCTCTCACTTAAAAGGACAGTGGTAGGATGTAAATCCATCTATTAAGGGAAATTGGACTTTATAGAAATAGGGAAAAATGAAAAAAAAACCCAAAACAAACTCCTAACAGATACTCTTTGCTTCCCTCATTTGCTTTCTGCAAAAAGAAAAGCCAGTGTCTCCTCCTGTGCCTCTATTTCTGGTTCAAGTGAACTGGTCAATGGTAGGAGTTCGGTTTGGTTCCCAGAGATGTTAGATAATCTTTCAGGCACAAAGTACCCTTGTGCCCAAAAGCTTCTCTAATACTTCTCCCAAATGTACAGTTGGCTCAATAAAAGGTATCATCAAAACCCCTTTGCTTCTTGCATAGTCCCTGGACCATCATGGTTAGAACTACACTCCAATTCTGGATTCTGTTGGCTTTGACCATGCTTGTGCCTGTTTCTAATTCTCCATTCATAACTTGCACCAAATTCTTGGTAAAAGAACAGATTCTATTCTTTGAACCTGTATTTTCTTGCAAACGAAAAGGCTTATGTGAAAACAAAGGGGTTCGTTATTCTGTGTTGTTCTTCTATTTTAAAAAGTTTGTTGCTCGACCAGGAGCAATGAGAATCTTCAGTTTCCTCTTTTCATTTAGATAGGAGCTTAACAGTATGGCAGTGGTTTTCCTGCCTGGTCAAAGAAAACTCAAGAGACTCCTCTTACGGCTATGGCAAGTTCAGTTTTGTGCAACTGAGCACTTTTGTGTAGGAAGGAGGGAGCGTTGTACAACACGTTTTCCTCCTCCTCCTGTACACTACAGAGATGCTGTGATGCTTTCATGCCAGCACACATCAGAGGGATTGAACTTGATGGGCAAGTTCTTAGGGGTAAAAAGACAGTGAAAGGGAAAAGGACGAGGTAGCATGGGGAGAAGAGGCAGAGAGAGAGACAGAAGGAGAAGAAAGAAAAAGGAGAGAAAAATGAAGGGAAGGGAACAGAACAGACAGGCACCATGAAAAAGAGATGAAGTCCATCATTCCTCAGTCACTGGTCACACCCATGAGAATCTACTTCCAGGATAGCAATGAGGAATAGCAACAGGAAGGTCTAACTAACTTGACAGAAAAAAAAAAGCAGCATGTGAAGAAAGACCAAAGAGGAGAGGAGCAGGGAGGTAATTTCTTGGGGCATTAAGTTGTTTCCAGATAGGATAGAGCTCATAGAACAGATACAAAGAGGTTGCCTGAGCACCCTTTTTCCCCATCATGTAGATTCACAGTCTCAGCTACTGGTGCAGTCAGCTCCTTCCTCAGGCATTGCTCTCTTACCTGTTCCCATTGATTCTTGTATCTGTGGCCTTCCTGTACTTTGATTTTAGGGCTTTGTCTGTTAACCACAGTGGGGACAGAAGCCATCTCTAACTCTTATCTTATGAGCCAAAACAATCACATAGGGCTGCTCTTTGAGAGGGGACCTCTTCAGAATATTGCTATTGGCTTGGGTGCTGAGCTCTGATTGCCCCAGGAATCCCACTTGTAGGGAGTCTTCAAGCTGTCTGTCATCCTAAGTTTGTCCTGTGACTACAGATCAACCCTGGTTCAGGCACTCCATCGATCGTGCTTCGTTGCAAAAGTCAATGTGAGGTAATTTCCTCGTGGGCTGTCTTGGGAGTTGGGCAAACTCTACCTGCAGGCACTCATGCTATCTGGAGGGTGAATTCCAAAAAACTCACCTCCTGCTTTCCAGGTAACCTGTATTCTTCAGCTTTCCTATTAGGTTTTAGAGATCACTGATAAGGAGGAACAGTGTCAAAAGTTGCTTCTTTTCATTTCAGGCAATCCAAACATCTTCTCCAGCTAGATGAGGGTACCCCTAAGTGTGTTGCTAACCTGCTCCTTTGTGCATCTCACTTGAGGAGATGATGTTAACAACATGTTTTCCCCACAGTGCTGCTTCTGCCAGGGTCTCTCCTTTAGCACTGGACTTTGATGGCTTCTCACACTCAAAGGTCCCACCAACTTCACTGAGGGATTTAGCTGGGTAAAAGCTGAGGATGGACCTCAAGGCTTGTCCCACAGTTTGTGAAAACAGTCAGAAAAAGTTGTGGCTGGTCCTTGCTTTGCTATTTACTTTGAAAATACACCTAGACCAGGGGTTGGCAACCTATGGTCCACAGGCTGGATCCATGCTGTAGAGCTGTTAGACCCAGCCTACAAAGCCAGGGGGCTTTGCCTGCAACATGGCTGGGTAGCTGGAAGCTTTGACCATGCCACACCTGGGCAGACGAGGAGACAAGGCAGTGGGGAGAAGCAGTGGTGGCAACAGCAGCCAGGGCTAGTGCTGGTGTGCCTTGGACCTGAGCTGGGTCCTTCCAGACTACAGCTTGAAAAGATTGCCAACCACTGACCTAGGCTACAAGGAAGAGTGTCCTTAAGAAAGTTGTTATTAGATGATATCACCCAGTGTAATTTCCTGTGCCATGTGGGGAGTATCAAGGTTTATGTAGCAGGAGTGGAAGCTACTGTTGTACAGAAACCAGTTTCAAAGAGTTTATTTTCCCCACTTGGCTATCAAATGCACTTTGCCAAATGTAATTTATGTGGAACACAGATTTGTTTTTCCTTTTCTTGAAGAAAGCATGTGCCAGAATCTGTCTGTTTAAATGCCTGGAATTAAATCCACTTTGAAACAAGAGTGTCAGTCTGTTTATTTCCCTTACTTTTTATGGGCAAAAGTTCTTCCTATTCTCCACACCCCTGCCCCCAACTACATTCAACACTGGTAAAGCTTCCTCTTCAGAGACACCCCCAAATCCTTTGCACTGATTGCCAGATCACTTCAAAAGAGACATCACTGGAGCAATGAGCGATTTATAAGACACCACTGGCAACTAAAGAGGATCAGCTGCAAGTGCTTGAGCAAATCTCTTTCAGTGAATGAAGAAGGCCTTTTCTTTCCAGCGACACCAAAATTGCAAAATGCAATTAATATGAAAGTCCAACATGCCCCAAAAGTTACAACTTTCCAGTTACTGTAGCTCTGGCTTTCATTTCCTCAGGTCACTGCTATCATGCAAATCTTTCCCTTAAAGGCCCCGGTTTACCCACCCCTCACTAAGCCTCCCTTGGGTCACCCCCTGCCTCTGTCATGGAGGAGGAAATGCACCACTCGTCCCTGGAGGCATATGTTAGCAACTCGGACTTGTTTTGCAGTTGGATTTCTCTGAATCCTAGAAAAGCAAGTTAACAGACTTCCCTAATCCTTATCTTGCTTGAAAAAACATAACCAAAGTAGCCAATTGGAGATTTTTGATTTGAAGCCCAGGCTTAATTATGCCTGCCTGCTGCTGCACCTGAGGGGGAACTTTTTAAAGCCAGGAGCAGCTGGGTCTGTATGTTTGGAGCAACTATTCCAGCAAGTAACTGTCTGTGAGAGGACTTGGCTTTATGTTTCACTTCAGTGCTGCTGGATTAAGAAAGACCAGCCTTCCCTCTCTGATCTGCAAGGTATTGTAGCTTGTATTTGATATTCATGATGGTATGTTTAGTAGAAAATTTAATGGGAGCACCTGGTCTTTCTTGCTAGGCCTTAGTTACACTGCAGACTATTAGCCTGACTGTAAATCTGGTATCCAGCTCCTCCTTTTGTATTGTAGCTCCACAAGTGAATTAGCATGCAGGAAGATGGGCATACCTATTGGAGTAGCAACCTCACCCCACAGCTGATACCAGTCCATTCTATACAAGGATGATTTTTGCACTCCTGAGGGCCAAGCCGGTTGCTTCTTCACTGAGGCAAAGAGAAATAGAGGAAGGATGAGAAAGGTAACCTCTTCATTGCAAGGAAGGCTTAAGGAAATTATATAGCAATTTAGAGGCCAGTGAATTGGTTAAGGGCTTATTCACTTGGAGATCTGTGCACACAGTTACATCCTAGAGAATTCTTTTTATCAAAGCTCAGTAAAGTATTTGTAACAAATCACTTATTTACAGAAAATAAAAATACATGGGGGGTGGGGGGAACTATTCCTAAACTTGGGTGAAATATTATTAATAGCTTCTGATACAAAAATAAAGAAACTAAAAAATTTTCTAAAAATGCCCAAACAGATCACTTCAGCATCCCACTAAGCTATAGTTATTCTTGTGTGCTCTCTCTGGGCTTTCATAGATGTGCTGGGGGGGGGGCGCTTAGTGGCTCCTGATGTTAAGCTTCTTTGTCTACAGGGCAAAAAGTTGCCACAAGCCTCTCCCATCCTGTGAATCTAGACTTCCATTTCCAAATTTCTTTTTTGCTTTTAATAACAATACCCAAAACTTTCTGTTCTTCAGTCACTGAAAACCTCTCCTCCTGGATAGACCCAAGCTGAAACACTTTTTCAATGTTTCTGTTCTGCCAGTGAACCAAAATAAATCAGTTATTCACACAGCTCTATCCAGAGAAGCAGTTTTGACAATAAAAAAGAACATCCACACCTGCTTGAGCTGAGGTAGCAGGTAAAGGGTCTGGATTCTAGCTAGAAATAGCCAAGGGAGAATTTCCTTGCCCTAGGATTGTGCAGATCAGTGCACAAGCATCAGAGTTTGCTTCTGCGCCAGCTACTTCTACTTGGGGTGAGGCCCTCCCGGGGGCGGGGGCACACGTCGATTCACTGCTACTTCATTTTTGTAAGGTCTCTTAAGGACATTGCATCTGTGACACAAGTTAGAGCAGCTTCTAGGTTACTGCAGCTTCTGCTGCAGCTGGTCAGGCAGAGCATCAAGAAGCTGTAAGCACCTTTCTGATAGCCTTTACTCTACACTAGTGCTGCATGGTGCCCATGCATAGGGGAGAATTGATCTCACCATTGTTTTCTGACAAATTAATCCTGTATTTTTTAGGGTGGCTGCCTGAATCTTTCCAGTGGGTGAGCAGAGTGGTTAATATAGCTCGGAAGTTAAGGATAAGACCATCTCTTTTACACTGGAAACCATTCCAGTAAATGTTCAAAGCAATCATTGAAATGCACAATTTTTTATGCCAAGGCTGTCCCTTCTCTAAATGGAAATGGTAGGTTCTTCTTGGGATCTCCATGATGCCTGTTGGATTGTATGTACTGTGTAAATGAAACGAAGTCTAAATGCATCCAGCTCCATCAGTGTCCCCTTGTGTTTCCACCATGGCAGAAAGGACAACAAAATAATCCCCTTGGGCAAAATTGTGTTTTTTTTGTTTTTGTTTTTTTTTAACATGAATTCAGTGGATAGCAGCTGCTGTATTTAACATTTCCATGGAAACTAATAAAAAACCACCACTTATTGCAGTCTGCAGCTGAGCAGAGCTAGGTAAAAATAAATACTCTATCTGCTCTTAGATAAGGTTTTTCTTCCAACTCACATATGCATGCACATAAGTCCCCTCTTACCTATGGCCTTGTCTCTGCTTTCTCTCCCCAAGGCCCTTTTTCCTTATCACAGCTCAGATGCTGGCTCTTCTGGCCTCCAGGGCTGCTTCAAGCCCCACACCTTTTTCTCTTCCAGCTTTGTTTTGGTGGCTAGAGAGTAGGAGTCTTTCCTCTATTTTGACAGCTGGCCAAGGGCTTCTCTTGTTCCCCTGGCTTCTCTTGGCCCTTGCTTCACCTTCCTGAAGTTCTTCCTCTTCAGCTGAGATGTTGGCACAGTGCTTCAGTGCCAGCAGGGCTGCCGTGGGCACCTAATAGCTCTTGCTGCAGTTTCATTAGTATCTCCTGACTTCACACAGCATTTCTTTGGCCCTGCTGCTTGCTTCTGTTGGCTCCATCCACTTGCTCCTTCAGTAATTGGGTTACGACAATTGAGCATTTTATTCATCACCGCTGCTTAAAATAAATTACTTAAAATGGGAACATAAATTTATCAGTGATTACCTACATTTCACAATGTAGGACAGTTTATGAAGAGTGTGTAATGGGGAGAAAGAACAGCTTATTTTCAAGAGGCAGCACCTCTTAATATTTCATTCATTTGTATCGCAATAAATAATTCTTTTTCCCCCTCAAATATTGCTCAAGTAGGCAGCATTACATCTTGTATCTAGCCTTGATTGCAAGTGCAGGACAGAATGTCTGGTGCCCCAGATATACAGGCATTTCTGTATCTCCTTTTTTTTTTTTTTTTTTCCCACACCTGGTTTCCTTGCTCCTCCTTCCTTTAACATCCCTCTGCAATTTAACCCTAGCTAGAAGAAGGTTAAAATCAGGCAGTCAGTGTTGTGGGCTAGTGGGGGAAAAACACAGACCAGATTCCCCAATGAAATGGGTAAAACAAGGCGCTCACAATGGGGGAACTGACTTGGGAGTACTTGCCAGTTTCCCTCAATGATTTAATGGAGAAATGCTTTTGGACAACATCATTGGATAGATTGATTTTTATGGATAATAATACTGTAGAGACCACCACAGATTTCTTCAACAGAGCAACATGTGCTCAGTAACAGAAAGAGAACTTAAGGATGTATGGCCAGAAGAGACCTCCAGTGTAACTACTGCAGAGCAACACTGACATGCCTGAAATGTGGGAGAGCAGTCTGGGTGCAGCTGCTCAGGGCCCCTCTAAGGTGGCCACATTGCCTCATTTTTAGGAGTTGGCATGTGCAGAGATGGGGTGTGTAGCGGTGCATCCAGGCCCAGGTCAGTGGTAGTGTAGATGAGCCCCTAGGGGACAACTCAGCAATAGTTTGGATGCTTGATCCTGCTGGGCTCCTCCACCTCAAATTTCTTTTCTTTAAGAAGAGCACAAGCAGTTACCAGCCTGGCTGGGAAATCCAGGGGAGATGGTGCTGGTATGTTTGCTTGTTTATTCTTCCATTTGGTGAGAAGGACTGGGAGCTCGGAGGTGTGCGTTCTACTCTTGGGCACTCTGTGACCTTGGCCAAGTCATCTTACCTCTCTGTTCAT